CTTCAAAATTGAAATTTTAAACCAAGACATCAATTTCAAGCTGATCTAACTTATCTCATAATGGGGCATGCTATCATCCGCCAACATTTATTAACTTATGACAATATCGCATAACCTTCTGAAATAATACTTGCCATAACGTTGTTCGACAACGTTCAATAATGTACGTTTCATAATGTACAGCAGGCTTAGCTTGCGCTTTAAGTATTTAAAGAGATTCATAGAATCAAAATATGTAGATTTCGACAGAAAACTATTCCTGCTGTAGTGAAGGCCTGGAAGTGGCGCATGTGCCGACTCCGATAAGTTGAGACAGGGATTGCCAGCCATTCGTAAATAATATCTGTCAAACAACACTCTCCAAAAGGCTGCCGAACAACACTCTCTAAAAGGCGCTCAAGGAGAAAAAGAAAAAAGTAGATGAAACAAATTAATACGGCAAAAGGCAGAAAAACACTTATAACTCAGTGAACCATATGACATCACTGATCTCGATGGACGAATTATCTGGCCAGCAATGAAGACAGGAAGCAGAGAAAGCAGAAAACTGGAGATGTGTCGACCTGATTCTCTGCTGCAACCACAACGAGAACAGAACAGATGTACAACTCATTACAATAAATAAAGTTCGTAGAGGATTTATTGACTGATGGCTGAGGGAACCAAACAATTACAATATTGACACATTAATACCAACCCGTATTGCTATGCACACCGTCTGTATTTTCTGCTGATTACATTAAAATGTTACACTGTCTTTTCATTCGACGAGGATTCTGCATATTACCGCTTACATCAACTACACTATGCAATCATTCAACGCTATGGCGGTATTCATTGCGTAAGTAGCAAAGCGATCAACATCTTATTGATTTGCCTTAGCAGGTACTGTTGCTGTTTGTTATGACCATATGAGGTGCGGTATGCGTAACAGTTCCGCTTGTCCTAAAGGTAGTAAGGTACAAGAGTGTCACAGTGGCAGGCAGAACGAGTGCTTATGTCAGTTTCGTTCAGTTAATGAAGTAATTTGAGGGCTGTGCGATTAGCGGATTCCATCCATACGCCGACGCAACGTTGAACACGAAAAAATTCCGTCCTGACCGGTACCTAAATTTGTACCTTTATAACCTAAATGTATATCAGTACGGAATTTGACTTTCGCACTTCGACTTGAAGCTTATCCGATGTAAACCGATTCAGGGAGATTCATGGAGATGTAAGCAGCAATGCAAATATTCATCAGTGATGATTCAAATGGCATGAAACACGAAACTGAATTGTCATGCAACATTTTAAACACAAGCCCTCAGTCATCAGGCGCGCGCGATCTCGTAATTATATCATTTGAGCAAACTGCTAGGTTCTGAGATCGCCAGTAAAAACACTTTTCGCCTCTTACTTCTTCTGATCAACATTTCGTAGTCGCATCCCGCTTTGCTCAAAACATCTAAGTAAATCGTTTAAGCGGGTCAACGTGCTGTGACAGCCGCTACAGTACATCCATGTGAAATCTGATCACCATGTTAGGCTGAACTAAAACTTGTTCCGATAAAAGATGAACGCCCTTATTCGCATGTATGCTTAAAAGTCAGCCCTTGAATTCTTGATTGACTAACTAACAACTGATTCTGGATATCAGGTACTAAGAGTAGCAATCCCTTGCCATTTCTTCGAATCCGTGTGTCCTTCTGTCAAAAACTTACGTCATTTTATTGCCAGCACTAGCAACCACGGCACAGCCTGCAACAGTTTACCTTTATGAACTGTACTAGTGGAACGTCTGACATGGTGATGTGTATGGTGCGCTTCTTTGCTGCCCTCCTTTTCCTCACTTTCGTCATGTTCACCTGAAAATTAAGTTTTTATATTAGCACTGCTGCTAAAACAAAACAGCCATACCCCGTTCTCTTCCGTGACGTACGTCCGGCGATCGTTTCGTTTTCGCATGTTCCGTTTCATGCTTTCCTAAACAACAGCATGCGGTAAGAAAAAAACATTGTTGCTCTACCTTCATGATGTTCCTTGCTTTCATGATGTACTTTCCTATCGCCCTCATGATGTTCGGCTTTATCATGTCTTTCTTTGCTTGTGTGATGTTCTTTGCCTTTGTGATGTTCCTTACTTTCATGCTCTTGCTTTTCTTCATGGTGTTCTTTCACTTCATGGTGTCCTTTTTCTTCATGACTTTCTTTGCTTTCGTGATGTTCCTTGGTTTCATGCTTTGCTTTGCTTTTGTGTGACTCACTGCTTTTGTCTTCATGGTGTTCCTTTTTTTCGTGATGTTCCTTGCTTGTGACCTCGTGATGATCTTTGCCTTCATGATGCTCTTTACTTTCATGATGCTCTTTACTTTCATGATGCTCTTTGCCTTCATGATGCTCTTTGCCTTCATGATGCTCTTTGCCTTCATGATGCTCTTTGCTTTCATGATGTTCTTTGCCTTCATGATGTTCTTTACCTTCATGATGATCTTTGCCTTCATGATGTTCTTTGCCTTCATGATGTTCTTTGCCTTCATGATGTTCTTTGCCTTCATGATGTTCTTTGCCTTCGTGATGTTCTTTGCCTTCGTGATGTTCTATGCCTTTGCCTTCATGATGCTCTTTACCTTCATGATGTTCTTTATCTTCATGGTGTTCTTTCTCTCCATGATGTTCTTTGCTACCATGGTGATTTTCACCTTTATGGTGTACTTTACTTTCATGATGTTCTTTGCCTTCATGGTGCTCTTTCGCATCATGGTGTTCCTTTCCTTCATGATGTTCTTTGCCCTCATGGTGTTCTTTACCCTCATGAACCACTTTGTCACCATGGTGTTCTTCTCCTTCATGATGTGCTTTCACTTCATGGTGTTCTTTGCCTTCATGATGTGCTTTGTCTTCGGGATGATCTTTGCCCTCATGATGCTCCTTTTCTTCATGGTGTTTCTTATTTTCTACTTCATGGTGCTCCTCCTTCTCTGATGTTGCATGGTGCTGTTCATGTTCGGCTGCTTCAGTTTTATGCGCTTCGTCATGCTTTTTGCCTACAAATATTCATCAAGGTAGTTGGCGAACACAAGGCTTCAAAAGCTGATCTGAATTTACATAAAAAGCCATTATTTATAAAATTTTGTTAAGTGTCGAATCTAAAAATTACATAGCGATGCTAGGAACTCTGTTAAATTAGCCGAAACTTCTGAATGGCGTCTGGTCTCACATACCTTTACCACGGAAGGCTGAATTAGATGTTTGTGTTTTAAAAGATGATACTGAATTGAAAATTAGTGAAACAGATTATCTGAAGGTGATAGGTCTTTTGATTTCATGTCTAGTAGCGCGAAGAGAAAGAAACATTTCATTTGCAAGAACTCCGACGTTTCGACTGAACTGGCATCGGTAATAAATGCAGGGAACGAATGAAGATTGGGAATGAACAAAATTAAGAAACAAGCTGCTTGGTCAGGGCTACTGAACCCATTTTGTGGTGCTCTTGACCGATCGCCAATTAAGCATTTAATCATGCTCCATGTCGCGGAACTGCGAGGAGCCAACGCTACCGTTATCAGACCCATGTTTACTGTCCGTGATGTGAAGCGACTCCATGATTAACAGCTACATCTTGTCCCGGTGTTAATCGACCGCCGTGATACTCTTCTTGTGAAAATCATGACCGTTCTCTAGCGCATGGACAACAAAATTAGAACGATCAGCGTTACGGTACGTAGTGGCTTTTCTGCTCCTTTAATACAGTTTTGAACCCTCGACAGCTCTTGCCAATATAAATCTGTTCACAGCTATTGGGTGCAACTTGACAAACGATGATTTTACTCTAAGAACGATCAAAATTTGGCCAAAGGAACACAGATAAGCCATTCAGGGCTTTAACTCCGCCGCTGCCGGTCCGAAACCAGGATGAGAAAGGAGGAGAGTTGGAGACCGTGAAGAGATCTGCGAGAAACATAGCCACTGTCCCTCATGGTCTACCGGCTCGGTCGTCGCCCGGGCTACCAAGGGCCCCACAGGCTGCGTACAGTCACAACAGCGACTGACGAAGATCGACGGAGCAATGACGAAGATACGATTCAGCAACGGAGTCCCTAGTCATTCTGAACAGAGGAGGCAGTCAACGCAGGTTATTGTATCACGTCAAAAAAGGATCCACGGGAACGACACCGCCAGTTGGAGCCTACAGTCGTAAATTGTAACATGTCCTCGATCAGAGGGAAACAGCAGGAGCCAGTTGATGAGGCCGCAAGGTAAGAAACTCTACATAGTTGGACTATCGTCAATGAAGCGTCAAGGCTCTGCAATTCTGAACCACTGCGAGTAGAAGTTGTTCTACTCAGGTGTGGATATCACGACGCGTGCTCAGGCCGGCGTTGGTGTTCTGATAGAACCAAACCTGGTTGACACAACCACTGAATGTTAGCTTGTCAGTGGAAGAGTGGGAATCCTTTGACTGAAACTGCTACAAGCCAAAGAGTTGACCTTGCTGCAGGTGTATGCGCCCAGTCTGGATGAAGAATATGAGTAAGGAAGAAGCTTTTGAAGAAGAGCGTGCTCTGTGCGAAGTGCCGAACACAGAATCCCTCATACTGACGGGCGATTTTAATGCGCACAGCGGAGTAGACATTGAAAAGTGGAACGGCGTGATTGGGAAAAACGGCCCT